TAAACTATAGATTATTGTACTAGTATATTTTATAATGGTATACTTTAGTTTTAAAGACATCAGCTTCCTTAGTTCAATTTAATTGATAGTGAGAATAAATTTCAAGATTTGTGGGAAATACATTAGATATTTTGTGAAATAAAATTTTCTGAGACCTGTTATTTTTTTTTTATTAATTTTATTCCTTTATTGATTTTAGAGAGAGAGGAAGTGAGAGGGAGAAACAGGAACATTGATGAGAGAGAACATCAATTGGCCACCTCCTACATGCCCCCCACTGAGTATCAGGCCCACAACCTTTGGCATGTGCCCTGACCAGGAATTGAACCAGCGACCTCTTGGTGCATGGGTTGACGTTCAACCACTGAGCCATACCAGCCAGGCTTCTGAGACCTATTCTGAAATACCTGATACCTAGAAGCATGAGCTACAATTTAGTAACTTACTGCTTTTCATAGTGATGCAGAGATTTGTTTCTGAACAAGAAAGCTAGGAAATAGAACCTCAAAATAACTTATATTCTGTGCCCAATATTCTGGGTGTTCTTTGTTAAAGTAGAAATGCATATTGGCTCACATAAGCACAAGAACACATTATTTTTTTTCCTTCTGGTGCTACCCTCTCCTTTACTTCCTCGCTTTTTCTGCAGGCCCCTCCTTTTCTTTTTTTTTTTTTTTTTTTTTTTATCCTCACCCGAGGATATTTTACCATTTTTGTACAGATAGAGTGGGAGGGAGAGAGAGGAAGGGAGAGAGAGAGAAACATCGACGTGAAGGGACACATCGAGTGGCTGCCGCCCGCCTGACCAACCAGGGCCGGGGACAAACTGCAACCGAAGTACGTGCCCTTAGCGGGAACTGAACCCAGGTCTCTCCGGACCGCAGGCCGACGCTCTAACCGCTGAGCCAAACTGGCCAGGGCAGGCCCCTCCTTTTCAATTGGTATGTAATTCACATAAAAATCACCATTTTAAAGTATGCAATTCAATGGATTTAAAATATTTTTCTTAATTGATTTTAGAGAGAGAAGAAGGTAGAGAGAGAGATAGAAACATTGATGTGAGAGAGAAACATTGATTGGCCACCTCTTGCATACCCCCTACTGGGGATTGAGCCTGCAACCTGGGAAGGTGCCCTGACCAGAAATCAAACCAGTGACCTCTTGCTGCATAGGTCGACACTCAGCCACTGAGCCACACCAGCTGGGCGCAATTCAGTGGATTTTAGTATTTTCACAAGGTTTTACCACCATTACCGTTGCCTAATTCCAGACCATTTCATCACCCCAGAAAGAAACCTCATCCTCATTAGCAGTTACTCCCCATTTCTTCCTCTCCTTGATTCTTCCTTATTTATTATTTCAAGGACTTGTATTTTTGTTGTTGGTTTTTATTTTGTCCCCACCCAAGGACATTTTTCTATTTTTGTTCAGATAGAGTGGGGGAGAGAGAGAGAAAGAGAGAAACATCAAGGTGAAAGGGACACATCAAGTAGCTCCCTCGATGTTTCTCTCTTTCTCTCTCTCTCCCCCACTCTACCAGGGCCAGGAACCAATCGCAACCAAGGTATGTGCCCTTGACCGGAATTGAACCCGCCACTCATTGGTCTGCAGGCCAATGCTCTAACAGCTGATCCAAACCGACCAGGGCGATTTTCAAGGGCTTTTAAAACATTTTGGAAATTATCCACTTATCAGTAATACATTTTTGCAAATATTGTCCCATGTCAATTCTACATTGCCAGGGTGTGAGCAAAGCCTTTCTAACTACATCTTAAAATCTAAGTACAATAAAAGACCAGTACATTACAAAAATAATTTTTTTAGGGTATAACACCAAAGACAAATGAAAATGCAGGAGGGAAATATTTGCAACATGTATTACAGATAAATGGGTAATCTCCCAGATATTTTAAAGAGCCCTTGAAAATAAAGGGATGGAAGAACCCCTTTACACACACACACACACACACACACACACACACACACACAGAAAAATGGGCAAAAGTCAATGACAAATAGTTCATAGAAAAATATAAACAAATGGTTCTTCAGTATATGCAGATATGCTCAACTTTCTTGATAAGAGAAATTCGAGTGAAAACGACAGTGAGATACCAGTTCTCACATGGCAGGTACTCATAAGATTGACCGGCTGTGGGTTAAAGGCGCACATTGCTGCTGTACCTGCAAAGTTGCATAGGGTCTCAAGAGGGAAATTTAGCAAAATCTAACAAAACCACACATTTATTTACCCTTGGATCTAGAAACCCCCTTTCTAGGAGTTTATCCGGAAGATGTACCCAACAAATACGAAACAATATGCATGAGGTTATTCACTATAGAGTTCTTGATAATAGTAAAAATAATATTTACAACCTCAATGCTCATCCATGTGAGACTAGTTCACTGAACCAATACTTCCACGCAATGGAAACAATGACGTTGTACAAAAACAAGGAAGATCTCCAAGAAGTGACCTCTAGAAGTGAATTCCAGGATATATTGTTAAGTGAAAAGAAAAAGCAAGGTGTGAAAGAGTCTGTGTGCTTATTTTTGCAGAGAAACACAGGAAGCATAAACCAAAACTAATGAAGATGATTACTATAGGACGCGGTTGAGGATGAAGTGAAAGGGGTAGAACTGAGAGCGAGGCTTTTTAAAAATCGAATTTAGACTTTTGAAAAATGTAAATGTTTTTCATATTAATAAGATAAAATTGAATGAAAACCCAGAAAATTTTTTGAAAACAAACAATCATCCCTGGCCGGTTGCTCAGTGGTTAGAGCGTTGGCCTGCGGTTCAGAGAGACCCTGGTTCGGTTCCTGCTAAGGGCACGTACCTCAGTTGCAGTTTGTCCCCAGTCCCAGTTGGGTTGTGCAGGTAGCAGCCACTTAATGTGTCCCTTTCACATCGATGTTTCTCTCTCACACTTTCTCTCTCTTCCTCCCGCTCTACCTGAACAAAAAATGAAAAAATGTCCTCGGGTGAGGATAAAAACCAACAACAAACAGAATCAAATGAACCTAACTATGTGTCAAATTGGTAATATAAGCATACAGAATATAGAATTTAAGCAACTTTTTAACAGACCATTCCCTGTAAATGCTAAAATTCTTGTAGAAAAATTTTGGGGGAAATGGGATATTTAAACATTCCCAAAGAATCACTCTAAAAATTGCCTGTCTTCGATGTTTCTCTCTCTCTCTCCCTCTCACTTCCTCTCTCTCTAACATCAATAAAGGGGAAAAAAAGATCCCTATTGAATGTATTCAAAACAAGCACATCTGAAATTAAATATGATTTTCCAATAAAAAATAAAATAAAATAAAAATTGCCTGTTAATTACAAAGGGGCAAAGACACTTTTTGCAGTGGGGAGCATTGACAGGCATCATCTTAACCAGGTTATTAAACCTCTTTTTCATTGTGGTGAATTATACAGAATGTAAAATTTACCATTATAACTATTTTTAAGTGTATGTTTCAGGCACTGAGTACATTCACATTGTTGTGTGGTCATCCATTTTTAGAATATTTTTATATTCACAGACTGAAACTCTGTAGCCATTGCAAGTAATGGAAATATGCATCACCCACTGATGGAATAACGTGACCTGATGAGTCTGCCGAGGAGATGGGGTGGGGAGTGCACATCGACTCTGGGGTATTCTTGCCAAAATGTTTAGCCTGAATCTAGTAATAAGGAAATAGTCAGGTGATTCCAAAATGCAGAACATTCTTCAGGACTCCTGGCTTGGCCTCCAAAAATATCAGTGACATGAGAGACTGAAAAATAAATAAAAGGCAAGAAGATTGTTTTAGATTAAAGGAAACTAAAGGGACACGGCAACCAAATGCTATCAGCATTTTTTATTGGATCAAGGATTTTTAAAATAGCTCTTAGGCACATTTTGGGGACAATTTGGAGTATGTACTGTATATTACATAAAATTGTATCAATGTTGAATTTCTTGGGTATAATGATAGAATTATGGTTATGTAGAAAAGTGTCTTTGTTTTTAGGGATGAAATGTTATATTTGTAAGTGGTTCCTCAAATACATGGATACACAGACTATGTTTTTTATTTTTATTTTTATTTTTTTTTATTTTTTATCCTCATTCGAGGACACTTTTCCATTTTTTTGCACAGACAGAGTGGGAGGGAGAGAGAGGAAGAGAGAGAGAGAGAAACATCGATGTGAAAGGGACACATCGAGTGGCTGCCACCCGCATGACCAACCAGGGCCGGGGACAAACTGCAACCAAGGTACATGCCCTTAGCGGGAACCGAACCCGGGTCTCTCCGGACCGCAGGTGGACGCTCTAACCACTGAGCCAAACCGGCCAGGGCCACAGACTATGTTTATGTGTGTGTGTGTGTGTGTGTGTGTGTATGGAGAGAGAGAGAGAGAGAGGAGAGAAGGAAATATAGTAAAATAATAAGTTGGGGGTTGGGGGAAAAGGCAAAATATATTTTTATGGACTTTAGATGATTAATGTGATAGTTTTAATAAATATGTTTTCAGTTTACAGTTTATGCTTCTACTCATTTTACTCATCATATTTTAAATTAGGTGATCAAACTATATAACATATTTTCCTGAACTCTCTATTCCCTTTGGTTTTTATGCTTTAGTATAAGGTTTACCTAGGTCTTTAATTCAGCAGGTAAAATTAAAAATGACTATGTCTTCAGAATTACATTTGATGGAATTTGATTACACTGTTCCTTTAGAACAGGAATCTAATAGTAAGATTTCAGATCCTTAAATATGACAATATCGAAGGGTTTTTCAAATGCATTTCTAATAGACTTCCCTCTCTGCAGATTTAATAATATTCCTACTTCAGATGGAAAAGCATTCTTATTCTTTGGAGTAGAAATGCACACAGAGTAGAAAAGAAATCAGCATTTGATCAACACGAATGACTAGCATAGAATGTAGTATTTGATCAACCTGAATCCTTATATTATCCTATATTAAAAAATCTTTTCCAGGCGGTGAAATTGACTGTGTGGATAAGGATGGCAACACTCCTCTCCACGTGGCTGCGAGATACGGTCATGAGCTTTTGATTAACACCCTAATAACCAGCGGAGCTGACACAGCCAAGTAGGTTGCTGCAGAAATACGGTGAAGTAGCTGCCGCGTGTGCTTACTGCCGCCGGACTCTGACGGGCAGCAGACTGTTCCCATTTGTCTGGGTTGAGGTGCTAAAGACCAATTAAATTTGAACTCAATTAAGTGACTTTTAATGACAGATAAGAGGAAGAACCAAATTAATTTTTTTTTAGCCACATCAATAAGAGGTCTCTTCCAGTGATTTTAATTAAGGAGACTTGAATTTCATTCCTAACTCTGCTTTGTAATATTCTTTTGTTCAATGTCAGTTAAACGGGGAAAATAAATCGTAAGTGGGCAAATTTAGACAGGATGCTTGCTTAATTTTAATTATATAATTATAGGGTACAACTGAGTAAATATGCTCCACAGGGAAGGGGGCCTGATTTCATTTTATACTTCAATTCAAAAAAGTATATAAAGCATCTGACCCAGTCTGTCACAGTGCAAGTTGCTGTGGGAAATTTCAGAAGTAAGTTACCTCGGTGGTACCTTCAAGGAGAGATAGTTGTGTGGGAGGCCCCAGGCCGACAGTCTACCTAAGACAAAGAGCCATGCAAAATGAAGAAGGACTTGGTGGCAAGATGTTTGGTGTAGACAATATGCCGTAGACTGTGGGCAGGAAGGGGAGAGATCTGATGTGGCCTAAGTTTTCAAAAAAAATTGTCAGATTTTCAGGAGAAGGTGAGTTTTAGGTAGGCAGAGGGTGGCAGGCAGCCCAAGCAGAGTGGAAAGCAGGAACCGGAGGTGAAAAGCACAGTCCTGGGAGGTTCGGCCTGACCCAGCGTGTGCGATGGTACCATGCTCTGCTCAGAGGCAGCGTCACGTCCCCAGCGAGGCCCAGACTTCCACGGGCACTGCCCAGGCTCCAGTCCAAGCTACTGTGCTCGCCAGCTGTGTGACCTGGAGCCCGTTGCTCAATCTCTCTGTGCTTCAGTTTTAAAACTTAAAAGAATAGGAGTAATAATAATACTTAATACTTACCCATTGGTTTGTTATGAGGATTAAAGGACTTAATTACTAGTAAAGCTCTCTGGGATAGGTTAAGATCTGTATGAATTATGTAAATACATTTGTTAAGGTTATTAAACAAGATAATCCATGTTAAAGGGTCTTTGAACATTGCCTAGCACAAACTAAACTATCAACAACGTTAACTATTATTTTATTACTTAGTAATCTGTAGTGGAACCAAGTTAAAGAGGGCATTAGAGGCCTGAATGAAGAGGTTAGCCCTGGTCACAGAGGCCATGGGTAACAATAACTAAATTTTCAGGTGAAGAACAATATCAGGGCAGTATAATATTGGGGATTTTATTTGATTTGACAATTTTGTGCAACACAATTGAAAGTGTTTGCTTGAGAATGAACCAAAATCTAACTGGTCCAGGAAGGTGCGTTGGGTTTCGGTGACTGGGCCCCAGTCTAGCGGCAGCAAGAAGATCAAGAGCAGATGACTTTGTGAGGTTTGTTATGACGGAGGTGTGGACCGGGCTGTGGGAACAGTCTCTCCAGATTCTGCAACAGAGGGGACATTTCAGCAAAAGGATGGGTGGGTAGCAGTGTACCAGGTGGACAGAATTGTGTGATGTAAAAAGGTAGAGGGGGAAGCAAGGAAGGATGTTCCAGAAAGAGGGAACAGTGTTGACAGGTGCACGGACACGTGAATGTGTTGAAAGCAGGTTCCTAAGACTGGATGACCTGATGTGTGGGGAGAGGTGGAAAGAAATGAAAGGGAAAGGAAAGAAGAGCCACATCTTGAAGGACCTGAGGGGAAAATATCAAAATGAGGGGGAGGAGAATTGGAAAAGATTAACTTTACTAAAGGCCTCCCCAGAAAAATCACTGTTCTCTGGGTTCCTTGTAGATAGGGGTAGCTTATTAATGAGAAGAAAAGCAGGACTTACTTTCTATAAATAAGTAAACAAACACATCACATTTATGAAAATAACTTATTTTTTTTATTTATTATCTTTTTAAAAAAATCCTCACCCAAGGAAATGTTTGTTTGTTTTTAAAATTGATTTTAGAAAGAGAGAAGGGGAGAGGAAGAGAGGGAGAGAGAGAAGCATTGATTGGTTGATTCCCATATGCACCCCATCTGGGGATCAAACCCACAACCTGGGTGCATGCCCTTATCCGGAATCGATCTCGTGACCTTTTGGTGTATTGGTTGACACTCCAACCAACTGAGCCACACCAGCCAGGCCATAACCCATTTTCTTTCATAAACAATAGGCCAAGTGTATTTTAAAGGTCTCTGTATGACAAATTTTATGGTCATTACTTTCTTTTCTTTTCCTCCCTCCCTCCCTCCCTCCCTCCCTTCCTTCCTTTCTTTCTTTCTTTTGAGAAAGAGGGAGAGAGAGACAGAAACATTGATAAGAGAGAACATCGATTGGCCGCCTCCTGCATGACCCCCAGTGGGGATCAGGTCCACAACCTGGGCACGTGCCCTGACCAGGAATCAAACCAGCAACCTCTTGGTGCATGGGCCGATGCTCAACCAGAGCCACACTGGCCAGGCTGGTCATTACTTTCTTATAAATTTATTTGAATTTTATTCTCAGGCCTTGATAGAATGTTCTTTGTTACTCTTTTTTGCTTCTCTGAACTCTAAGTCAGATCACTTTCTGTAACTTTATGTAGTGTCAGAGCCCTTTGGTTTTTCTTCTTTAACTTCTTTAGGTTTGGGGCACTTATCTCTAGGGTTTTCATTGCTCTTCCTCCTGAGCAATTATGCTCTCACTTCTTTTTCTGTCTTAACTGCAGCAGACTTAGGGATAGTGTAGTTATTCAGGTAACTGTTTTGACATTCAGTTATTCTCTAAATGGTATTGAAGGCCTGTTGTCACCCACTGTGTGAGGTCCTGGGGTTACAGAGGTCCCTGCCCTCTTGGAGGCAAGTTTTAAACAAGCAATTACAGTCATACGTGTTAAGTGTGATGCCAGAACAATTCGGTGTCGCTGGGCTATTCCGAGGAACTACTGGGACACAGCAGGGCCAGGGAGGGCTTCTGGGAGGAGCGATGGTTCATGGAAACGGCAGGATGGGTAGCGATCAGTTAGGGCATGGTATGAGTCCTACAGATGCCGCTACAGACTTAAGTTATTTTTATTACAATGTGACTTGAATATATATAGACATAAGACTAGATAGAAACTCCTTAGGCTTTTGACTCTAATATATCAATAAATACAAATAAGCAACAAAACACATGCAAACAATATCCACTTGAACTGCACAGGTAAGCAATCAATAGTAGCAAACGTTCACAAGTGCTTACCCATGCTTAGTGCCACTCTGAGGGGTTACATTTAACTGTCCCAGTAATACCATAGGTTAAGTGCTATGACTGTTATCATCTTTACAGGTGAAATAAATGAGGCACAGAGAGGTTCAGTTACCTACCTGAGGTCACGGAGCTAGTGAGGGGTGGAAATGGGACTCCATCCTTGACATTTTGGATCTGGAGCTCAGCTCCTAAGCACAAGGCTGCTATCTCTCCAAGTCATGAGTGATGTGAGAGTCCACGTTTTAGCCAAATTAAATGACCATTTGTGTGTAATATGGTCCTGGTGGCTGTGGTGCTGACTCTTTAGAGTTTAGTACACCCTGAAGAGTGGAGGCTTTGCAGTGGCTTAAACAAAGTGACGGGACAGTGGACTCGTCACACGGTGCACACTGTTATCTAATTTGCTGCATACAGGAGGCCCACTGTACTGTTGGCCCCCCACCCCCACCCCAGGTTCAGGCATCATTTATCTGTTAAGTCCACCTTTGTTGTTTTCTTATCGCCCCTGCCACTTAAAGTGGTACTCCACTGCACCGGTGGGGTCCGGAGTGCATGGCCCTGGAGTCGCAGTTATGAAGTGATAAGGTGGTCGTTCAGATGAAACAAAATATGGCTTTGTGCTAATTGCTTTAAATTTTTATCAAAAGGAAAAGAAAGTTTAAAAATTTTCACAGAGAACTCTTGAAAGCCCAAAGATATTTTCAGTGACCCCCCCACACACCCCCAAGATGCACTGATGAGTGTGAGAGAGGCTATGAGAAGCAGGGAGAAAGGTAACAGAGTATCAGGTGGAGGCACCTCATGTGCAAAAGCCGGGCAGGATGGAGCCTGCAGGAGGAATGGACACAAGTTCACTGAGATTCCAGAGTTCACATAGGTTCAGCAACACCCTGCAAGCCACATTAATGTTTGGACTTGATTCCGAAGAAACCACTGACAATGCCTGTAGCAGACAGCCAGGACCAAGCCTCATTGTTGTCATTTATACCCAAATTCTTTAACTTGGGGGTGCATGGTAAATACTTAAAAGGCATAAAATTAATAATTGATTTTTTTATTTGAGTTCATCAATAGAGAAGAATCATAAAATTATTTGATGATCAAAAATCATCAAATATTTTTGTCTCATCCACTTAGTGGGGAAAACTAAACCAATTGCATCTACCCTAGGAGAGTTGTGAGATAAGTACAGCAAAGGATTTTGAAATGTAGAAAGAAAACAGAAATGCTAGCTGATCACAATTCATTCTTAACTTTTAAGGATTTGATTTTAAGGACGTACACATTTGATTTTGAGGAAGTACAACCTGATTACAACGTCAAAACTCAAAGACTGCTGATTATCCAACTAAGCTAATAATAATTGCGAGGGCAATAATAATACTAACACGCATGGTAAAGGCTTACCAAGGGCCAGACCCTCTGAGCTTTGTGTGCATTATCTTTATTTTCTGGATAAAGGAACTATTAAGTACTTGCTGAAGATCAAATAGCTAGCAAGTAGCAAAGCTAGAACTCAAAGTTTCTGATCCCATCACCTTAACTACAGTATTCTTTACAATACGACCTAAGGGCAGATTCTAGAAAAGCTTACATGTAGGAAGGGACAGCCATGTCTCTCTGAAGCCAACACGAATGCTTAAAAGAACTGATATTTTAATGGTGCAGAAGTCTTTTCCTCACCTCTGATAGCTGTCTACGAATTATTCTGACCTCATTTATCCTGAAATAACTGGGTAGAAGATGCCAGCTAACAGCTAAATTAGAAATAGCTAATACAAATGTGTTCCATTAATTTTATGACTGGTCAAATAAATGTAGCAATTTAACTGGAATCGGTCTCCTCTTTCCTGTAATTTATGCATTGTTAAGTTTAGTGTTATCTGACATCTTTATTTCTTGATCTTCCTGGATGTATACCTGATGATGTAGGAGTGATCCTTCTTATTTGACTTATAAGACAGTCAAACCCTAATTTTCCTGCTAAAGGTTTTACAATCCTTCCTTTATAAGCAATCTTATTTTACAACAATAAAGGAGTAATTTTATTTTGAAATGCATGAATCATTGCTAAAGTGATTCAGAGATTCTGAATTCTGCTTTTATGTTCTTCCCAATCTTGGCCTAATATTTGGTTTCCCTATTTGAAAACCAAAGTGCCAATAGAGCTTGAGTCTAAATTAATATATTTTCAAAACCTACTCTGAGATAGTGACATTTTATTAACTATGAAATAAAAAATATATATCAAACAGAATTTTTGTTAGACCTTTTAGAATAGTTCTCCCTCCCTTATCTTCTCAGGCTTATAAGTAACAGCCAAAAGAAAGAAGAAGAAGATGTAATTAGCTAATGTAGATTGTGATGAATTGTCTAAAGACAGTGGTGTTAAGTTGTAAGGCTTTTAAGAAGTATTGATAATGAAGATTCTGGAATATGTTATAATACTGTTGCTGTCATATTATCACTTGTACTGTTTGTGTTTTCCTAATTGGTTTCTCATAGAGTTTTATGCTATTTTTGCTAATTTGTTTGCTTGTATTATTTTATATAAATATATTTTTATGTGTCTTTATAAAATATATCATATTATTATAGAAGATATATATTATATATTATATTGTGTGTGTGTATATATATGTGTGCAGTATATATGTATATAATATATCATTTTAATACAATTATATTTTAATATTTTATATATAAAAGAATGAGGAAGGCTCAAAGAAATCTTGAGCAATCTAGTCCTTGATTTCAGGCATTTTTTTTCAGGAACTTCAAACTATCTTAGAAAATAGTCTATCCATTTTCCTTTTGCAAATGTCCAGAAATATTTAATCATATATTTTTGCTTCAACTGTCCCAAATAAATAAAATTGTTAGCTAAAATCTCATTAGCTTAAGCTCCATTTAGTAAGAAGCTTTTAAAACATGTTATACATGAAAAGAAATTGCTATGTTTCACAGGCGTCAAGAGGGAGCAATATAAATAGCACAAACAGAAAAGCTTCGCCCCCATCCTCCAGCCCATTCTTCCTGTTCATGAGCATCAAGGTTGTCACTGATGCAATTGCTTTTCAGATTTTTTTTTGTTGTAAATGATGAGAGAGGCAATTACAAGCAGTTCTCCCGCACATGACACTGCCCGGAAGACGGGCAAATTGCATCTCTTGATGGATGCCAGCTATTATATACACTGGGCTGGAAATCTCCATATAGGGGAAAGAAAAGGAACAGAGGGAAGACGGAACAAAAACACTAATAAATAGAAGTTTTCATGGAAAGAGAGAAGTGGTTGTTTTCGGGCAGCCTCAGATTTTGCGTAACACTGAATACCACGAAAGATCTGTGAAGACGTGTGTACTTTCACACATTCACACACATCATACTAACGTTTGAGAGAGCAAATAAAGTTCATGTATGCAAAACATAACAAATTCAAATCATATGTGTTCTTTATGAAGTGTAGAATCTGAAAACGGGCCACTTGGTGCCAGAGAAGAAATATAGGTAATTTATCCTGCAGGTGTGAATAGACAGACGTACTCACTTGTATTATGCAGAGGACTTACAAAATTTGACATCTGCCCTGGCCGGTTTGGCTCAGCGGTTAGAGCGTCCGCCTGCGGTCTGGAGAGACCCGGGTTCGGTTCCCGCTGGGGGCATGTACCTCGGTTGCAGTTTGTCCCCGGCCCTGGTTGGTCGTGCGGGTGGCAGCCACTCGATGTGTCCCTTTCACATCGATGTTTCCCTCTCTCTCTCTTCCTCTCTCTCCCTCCCACTCTATCTGTACAAAAAAATGGAAAAATATCCTCGGGTGAGGATAAAAAAAAAAAAAAAATAGACATCTATTATTTGAGTACAGTGAGATGTTATAAGAAATGATCACTGCCCTGGCCAGTTTGGCTCAGCGGTTAGAGCGTCGGCCTGCGGTCCGGAGAGACCCAGGTTTGGTTCCCGCTAAGGGCACGTACTTCGGTTGCAGTTTGTCCCCGGCCCTGGTTGGTCGTGCGGGTGGCAGCCACTCGATGTGTCCCTTCACGTCGATGTTTCTCTCTCTCTCTCCCTTCCTCTTTCTCCCTCCCACTCTATCTGTACAAAAAAAAATGGAAAAATATCCTCGGGTGAGGATTAAAAAAAAAAAAAAGAAAAAAAGAAATGATCACTAACAATATAAATGCTTATAAGTACACAGGAATCTCCCGATGATGCTGTTTATTATGAACTACAATTCAGCACACGGCTTTGGGTCCTTGTTCGAGGAGAGATGATGGGCAAGAGGAGGATTTAATTCTGAAGGCAAAAGGCGCTGCCATCAGAAGGCTGCCCGTCCCTTAAGGGGTCATCCTGGGGACTGTGTTATGGTGGGGGAGTCTGTCTAAAAAGTGCTTTTCTAGATTCTTTCTGTAATACTGTTAGGAAAAATATGCTAGATTTATGAAATAGATGCAAGATAATGTTTCTTACTCCCAACTGCATTTCTGTGGCTGGTATTCTGATGCGGGTCAGTGTGCAATGTAAAAGTCTGTTAGGAAGATGTAGTGTTACCTGCAAAAGGCAAACAGTTTTTATTCTCATCTAAAATTTTATTTTCAACAATACAGCTGTTATTAACTTTTAGCAAAGTGCTTGGCACATAATAGGTCAATAATAAATGTTTATTTATTAATTCAAGGAAAAAAGCAGGTTGCTTTAGAAGTTCAGAGTTTGTCTTATCTCTAGCACTTAGCATAATATCTCATACTTAGATAGATGAGTTGAATAGATGAGTTAATTAGTTAATTGATTAATTATTGAGATATCAAATTGCTAACCTGAAAGAAAAAAAAGGAAATAATTTTAAGTATAAAGAGTCACATAATGTTTATTTGAAACATTTTCTTTTAAATGTCAATCCCTGTTGTTATGGGCTTTTACTTCTGATTTAGGTCCAGGAATTATTTTAAGGTAGAAAATGATTGCATAATTATTTCTCGAGTGGAAGAATTACAGAATGATTTCAGCCATGGGTCCCTAAGCGAGGTGTTGTGGATTTAATTTTCATCACAGAACTTCTAGGAAGGTAAATTTCCTTCTGCATGTGTGTTGAAATCTGTTACTGTGAGCTGCTCTGTTTTTTTCCTCCTCAGGTGTGGAATCCATAGCATGTTCCCCTTACATTTAGCTGCCCTAAATGCTCACTCTGACTGCTGCAGAAAGTTGTTATCATCAGGTAAGTAACTCCATTACCGCAGAGGAGGCTTAACGTGTCCTGTAAGTGACGTGTGACTCCAGGTGTCTGGTCAGAGTGAGTGGCTGCCTGTGCTTCATGTCATTCATGACCTGCTCTGAGGACAGCTCCCAGCAGTCCTTGATGTTGGCACTGTTGGAATGTTAGTATTCCTGCCCCTAAATGAGAGTCTGTTTCTCAAGTTAAAGCTTGGGTGATCTGAAGTGAGAGGCAAGGATAGCGATAGCTTACAGAAAATTTGTCATAAATGGAGAAAACTTAAAACTTAAAGTGGTAGTTTAACATTTAATATTCTTCAACAAAGCAAAGAGGACAAATCCCCCACATTTTGACAGTAGAAAATGTCACATGACCTTGCCACTCCATGGTTTCTGAAAAATCACCATGGCTGATCCCCTCCATCTAGGTTTAATTTTTATCTTTTTAATGCGGGCCTGTTTGGAACCACGAAATTCCTTCTGGTTCGCAACGTTGCTAATCTTTCTTATCACTGCTTCTGCCAACCTCCATGTATTAAGAAGTTCCTGGCTTTCAAAGGTGATAGAAATCTGCCAGGCAAATATTGCTTATGAATTCATTCAACAGATAGTCCAGAGGCATTTTTTCCCCTTTAAGTGCTTTACCTGTGGTTGATTCTGCTTTCACTGCTCTTGGACTGTTTAAAAATAATCCCTGCATGAAAGCACGTTTCCCAAATCTGAAACCAACTGAAAGCTGATTAATACCTTAAGAAAATATCTATTCTAGCATGTTAAGATTACTCCTTTACCTTCTGTGTTTTCTCCATGTGTGCTGTCTGCCTATCTATTGCCCTACTTATCTCAAATTGGTTTCGTAAATTTCTATCCTGGGATTGAAATATGGGGCTATGGTTTACCCAGAGCTGAATTTGAAAATAAATTCTTCTCGACTTCACGGTTCTCCTATAAAATTGCCGAGCTTGAGCAGTTACCATTCGTTTCCATGACAACCTCTTTCTGACTACAATTGCTTGCATTCTGGTTTTTCTACTAACTGATTTTTCTGTCTCTGCAATGTTTCTTGTGGTTTAACTAGGACAAAAGTATAGCATAGTATCCTTGTTTAGTAATGAGCACGTGCTGTCTGCAGGCTTTGAAATAGACACCCCAGATAAATTTGGAAGAACGTGCCTTCATGCTGCTGCTGCAGGAGGGTGAGTAGTTAGCAATTTTAGTTGTTGTTTTCATTTTTTAATTACTAACTCATCTTAATTGTCTTAAGTTGTCTGTGATTCAAATAATTTCTTTAGTAAAGTGGGTAAGAATCATTTCTACCAACACCAAATATCACTACATTGCATTTCCAGATTTACTTGCATTATTGTTCTTCCGAAGAAAAATTTGAGCTCATCTCACATAGAACATAGTTTTTTGTTTGTTTGTTTTATTCTCTCTCTTTGCTTTTTTTTCTTTCCATTTTTTAAATTGTAGATTTTCACCCTATAGAATATGTATCTGCTTGATACTCCTTATATCGAAAGAAATAATTTGAGATTTGTACTTAAGTTTTTCCTTTTTATTGCTGGTAGGTGAGTGATGATCAAGGGAATCCAAGATTGAGTTCATTCATGTTCATTTGCAGACATTTTTGTCCTTATTTCAAAACTGATTTTTAAGTCTTTATAGTAGGTAAATGTGAATGGTTAAGAAAACCCAGAGGATAAGAAAGAAGTTATTTAATCTTTGCCTTTTTTTCTTTTAAGTTGTAAAGAAAATTTTTCATCAGATACTGTTTTTTATGTCAGTGGTAAGAGTAAGACTCTGATCAATGTATTTTTTTATACATGACCACACATTAACCAAACACGGCCTTTTCCTGAATGGCTTTGTTTGGGTAAGATGTTGGTTCTTAATTAGTGCCCTAGCCCTTAAGGAACAGCAACACTTCTCCACTTATCTGTGTATCAGGAGTGGATGGACTGTGAAGCTTTAGGGCCCCTTATTTGCATGGTTCCCTTTTGAAGTCTTATATCTAATTTTATATTCATAATTTTGTATTCATTTTTTTAAAGACCCTCCTTCTCCCCATCTCATTCCCCCACATCACATGAGCTTCATGAGCTACACCACTGGGATCTGTCTCTTCCTTTGATCCTTTGGCTTCATTGAGTAAAGACAGGTGCTTTACATCAACTGCATGCTGCCCCGACACATAATGCTCTCAGAAAGGTCTTACGTTTTACGCCTGAAACATCTAGTTCTCTGAGAAATGTGGCTGTAAAGGGTGGATGGGGGTGGGGAGAGCCCTGCTCAGGTTTATCATTAATGAGATCATTTTTCTTAGTTAAATGATAACGAAACAGTAAATCCTAGGCCACTGCTTAGCATTCTAAGTTTATAACAATAATGGATGATTGTCTCCTTTGATGCTCACATTTTAAAAAATATCAGACCTGTGCAGAAAGTGACAACACACCATTCAGAATTCATGTTGGAAACTCCTATTAGAATTAATATTGCGCTACATACCCTTCAATAGGAAAATTCACTTCAATGGGTTCTTCGCTCTCTACTAAACATGATTTATTGCTTCTGCGAATGACAAAGCAGCTTTGGAAGATCACTATGCTCCATTACATCATTTTCGGCCTTGATTCTGCACATTCATTTACCTAGATTACAAAGACAGGGAAATGCAGCTGTTTTATTTCCCATTAAGGAGAGTCTGGGTCAGAAATGGTTATCATGGTGAATTCATTCTGCTGTGATAAAAGGTAATGCTCACCCAGTCCGGCTCACTGTGTAAAGGTGATGTGAAATTCTAGGTTTCAAGGGTTGTTTCATAAACTCTGGGTGGTTTTCAAAAGAGAATTTGAGGAAAAATGATGAAACCACCACCAAAAGGTTTAATTGTATAATAATCATTAAATTCCATAGTCATAGAATTGAAAATGTTTCACCAAACTCTTTCATGTATTGATATTTTAGCTTAAAAAATAATTTCAGGCACCATAGATCCCTAAGATGGCATTGCTGTGATATGTTCCTGTTATTGTTGTGTTATCAGAATTTAAAGCTGGAACTGTTGTTCCATCTGTCTGCAGTCTGCAGAGAGCCTGGCAACTCACCTCTACCACCTTAACGATGTTTTCCCTGTCTTTCTAGTAATGTGGAATGTATAAAACTCTTGCAGAGCAGTGGAGCGGATTTCCATAAAAAGGACAAGTGTGGGAGGTATGTAAACAGGGAACTCTGCTTCAAGTGCCTAAATAAAAGAAGCAGGGAGCAGTCCATAATGCAAACCCTGCGATGCCGAAATGGTGAGCAGGGAAGCTAGCAGGAGAGATTCCGTCCTCGACAGGGAATCCCTTCTTGTAGGGAAATGCAGGCACAGACCCCTCACAGCGTCTGTGAAGTGCCAATTGTCAGCCTTCTCCTTCCAGTGTTTTTAAATCCTCGGCGTGGATCTCGTTGAGGACCTTCCGTTTGCAGCAGAGTAGAGCAGGTTAGCCCTCCCGAGCCAGAATGTGGTCACATGCTCTAGAGCATCTTCTTATATTTATTGAAGACTTCACCTTGAGATAAATCTTTAGATATGTTTAAAACATTGAACACACACCACCACCACCAGGAATGGGTCATAGAACTTTTCTTGCTTACTGTTCCTCTAAAGAGCTGAACCGTGCCATAATACTACCACAATATATAGATATAATTTTATAAATTAAATTAAAATTTTATTTATATTTCTTTAAGTCTCTCTCCTACTCCTTTCCACATGCACCCTGGCTCTTGGAGTTGCTACAAATTTCTTCTCTTACCAACCTATGTAGGACAGTGCCTAGCCACTCTCAGACTTACGTCGTGACACCTCCCTCGCCTCTGACAAGCTGCCCCTCCTCTCTGCTTCCCCGGTACCCTGCATGCACCCTGCACGCTCCCTGACTGCGGCACCCTGCGCGCTCCCTGACTGCGGCACCCTGCGCGCTCCCTGACTGCGGCACCCTGCGCGCACCCTGACTGCGGCACCCTGCGCGCTCCCTGACTGCGGCACCCTGCGCGCTCCCTGACTGCGGCACCCTGCGCGCTCCCTGACTGCGGCACCCTGCGCGCACCCTGCACGCACCCTGACTGCGGCACCCAGCAGGCTCCCTGACTGCGGCACCCTGCACGCACCCTGCACGCTCCCTGACTGCGGCACCCTGCACGCTCCCTGACAGCGGCACCCTGCACGCTCCCTGACTGCGGCACCCTGCATGCACCCTGCACGCTCCCTGACTGTGGCACCCTGTAGGCTCCCTGACTGCGGCACCCTGCACGCACCCTGCACGCTCCCTGACTGTGGCACCCTGCACGCTCCCTGACTGCGGCACCCTGCGCGCACCCTGACTGCGGCACCCTGCGCGCACCCTGACTGCGGCACCCTGCGCGCTCCCTGACTGCGGCACCCTGCACGCACCCTGACTGCGGCACCCAGCAGGCTCCCTGACTGCGGCACCCTGCACACACCCTGCACGCTCCCTGACTGCGGCACCCTGCACGCTCCCTGACTGCGGCACCCTGCACGCTCCCTGACAGCGGCACCCTGCACACTCCCTGACTGCGGCACCCTGCATGCACCCTGCACGCTCCCTGACTGTGGCACCCTGTAGGCTCCCTGACTGCGGCACCCTGCACGCACCCTGCACGCTCCCTGACTGTGGCACCCTGCACGCTCCCTGACTGCGGCACCCTGCGCGCACCCTGACTGCGGCACCCTGCACGCACCCTGACTGCGGCACCCTGCGCGCTCCCTGACTGCGGCACCCTGCGCGCTCCCTGACTGCGGCTCCCTGCACGCACCTTGCACGCACCCTGCACGCTCCCTGACTGCGGCACCCTGCACGCTCCCTGACTGCGGCACCCTGCACGCTCCCTGACAGCGGCACCCTGCACACTCCCTGACTGCGGCACCCTGTAGGCTCCCTGACTGCGGCACCCTGCACGCACCCTGCACGCTCCCTGACTGTGGCACCCTGCACGCTCCCTGACTGCGGCACCCTGCACGCTCCCTGACTGCGGCACCCTGCACGCACCCTGCACGCTCCCTGACTGTGGCACCCTGTAGGCTCCCTGACTGCGGCACCCTGCACGCACCCTGCGCGCACCCTGACTGCGGCACCCTGCGCGCTCCCTGACTGCGGCACCCTGCGCGCTCCCTGACTGCGGCACCCTGCGCGCACCCTGACTGCGGCACCCTGCGCGCTCCCTGACTGCGGCACCCTGCGCGCACCCTGACTGCGGCACCCTGCACGCACCCTGCACGCACCCTGACTGCGGCACCCAGCAGGCTCCCTGACTGCGGCACCCTGCACGCACCCTGCACGCTCCCTGACTGCGGCACCCTGCACGCACCATGCACGCACCCTGCACGCTCCCTGACTGCGGCACCCTGCACGCTCCCTGACTGCGGCACCCTGCACGCACCATGCACGCACCCTGCACGCTCCCTGACTGCGGCACCCTGCACGCTCCCTGACTGCGGCACCCTGCACGCACCATGCACGCACCCTGCACGCTCCCTGACTGCGGCACCCTGCACGCTCCCTGACTGCGGCACCCTGCACGCACCCTGCACGCTCCCTGACTGTGGCACCCTGCACGCTCCCTGACTGCGGCACCCTCCACACTACTCCAGCCGACTCTGCTTCCTTGCCGCTCTCCCCACCTCACTGTGCATCTCCTGAGGATAAGGACTGGGCCTCATTTTTCTCTTTAGCTCCAAGCTCTGCCACATAGTTGATATCTAATAATTTTCAGTCTAATTAATAAAAACACAAGCAATCCACTATGTAAAATATTCATAATTTCCTCCTTTTGAGACTAAAAAGGAGTAGATCAATTAGTCAAAGAACCCATAAATTGACTACAAAATATAAAATAGTTGTGCTTGAAATTGATAGATAGCACTTGCAATAAAGTTACTCTATTTCTAATATTCTGTTTGGTTATTACCCCCTGAAAATTGTCTAGGAACACCAGATCAGCTGTTAAATAGTTAAGGACTAAAAATAAATAATATGAAACATTACTTTATATTTCTGCACTGCTTATGCTTTATAAGGTGCTGTGTTTTCCAACTGTTACTCACTTGGTTTCTCATAGTAACTCTATGAGGTATATGAAGACGCTTATTGTCCTTTTTAATTGATGAGAAAATGGAATCCAGAGAAACTAGAAACTTATACATGTACATGGAATTTCAGACCTACAGTGGACCTTGGGGGACAGCTGCTCAAAGGTCCTTATAGACATAAGGATGAAGCCTAGGCCTGGAGCAGGGATGTGGTTGGGTCTAGCCTACAGATCTGCCCCGACCAGAACCCAGGGCTTCGGATCACTTGGGCATTCTTCTTCCTCTTAACCTTATAGTTCAGTGGAGAAGATAAGATCACATCAGTAGCTATCATTAAGGCAACGCGTGATGGGAGCTCAAGAGAGGCCCAGACAGGACCTAAACAATCTCAGACAAAGAAAAAGAGAACTTCTGGACTTAAAGAATGGGTGGGGTTTTGATGAGTGGAAGTGGTTCAGAAAGGGGCATTCCAAGGAAGGGAACAACACGGGCAAAGTAAAGGGAAGTGTGGACACCATAGGGAAAACCTCCAGTCATTTATTTGGATTCAATAATGGGCTCATCTGGGGTGGAGAGAGATACTCCATAAAGGTAGATTGGAGCCAGCTTGGGAAGGTCTTCAATTTCAGACTACGGAATCGAGGCTTTGTTTAGTTGGGAGGACCAAAGGTTTTAGGACAGAATTGTCGTATGTGGGTATTGGACCTTAGAAAACCTAGTTCTACATTGGTAGCAACTAGAAATTCAATGGAAGTTGGATTAGAGACAAGGAGGCTAATAGGGATGATATTGCAATAATTCAGATGAGCAGCAATGTAGACCTGAACCAGGACAGTCATGAGGACTGGAAAGAAAGATCTGCAGGTGGTTGGCCTTGTCTGAAGCCACTGTTTTGTAGCCTCAGTTGCAATGTACAAAGTCAAAGGAATTCATACCCTTTGGCTTCCACACTCTGAGAGATGAAGAGCTTTCCACACCCGTAGGAATACTGCCGTCAGGGCTGGTGCTGATGATGCTCTGTTTTTCCTATTGGATGAAGTAAGAAATTGCTGTTTGTTTTCCAGGACCCCTTTGCACTATGCAGCTGCAAATTGTCACTTCCACTGTATTGAGACATTAGTGACCACAGGGGCTAATGTTAATGAAACAGACGACTGGGGACGGACAGCTTTGCACTATGCTGCTGCTTCAGACATGGATAGAAAGTAAGAACAGCCTTGTTCCGGTTTCCTCTGGGGTCAGGCTGGGGAGGGGTGGGTTTGCTAATTGTGTTCATCTGCCTCAAGGAAACTGTGACTGAAGAATCTCTTGCAACCAGACCCAAAGGAGTTAGAAATGCTTCATCCCTAACCCCAGTCCCCCCATTCTGCTCTCTTTATGTGTGATTATTACATGTCACTGCACAATTACTTCTCTGTTTTTGGGTTGAATGCCAAGTGGAGCTGTCAAGTCCAGGTTTTCAGGTCATTAAAAAAATCTGTTGTAATTTATTTTGTCATATGCTGCAGTTTTCATTATCACCACTTAAAATGCTTCATTTGCTGTAAAACCTACATTTGCTGATATGTATGTCATGTGTCGGAATATCCATCTCTGCATTATCCCTCAGCCTTCATGTGCAGTCAGTGGAAAATGGGCTCTGTTGTTCCAAACCGGGGTGCGAGTGCTCTCTCGGGAGCTGGAGGAGACGGTTGCCCTGGACGTGTTTGGCTTCTGGGAGGTTAGGAATGGAAAGCAGAATTAAGTGACCCAGTTGAGGGGGAAAAGATAGAAGAGGTGCCCACGATTTATGAGATTGTTCTCAAAGACTTAAGGCCCAGGGCCTCCTTCATAGGAATAGTTTTTAGTGACCTTGTCTGGAAAACTACTGAGCAGTCAGCTGTCTTGTGCTGTGGAATTGATTCTAGGTCAGTGCTAAGTCCTTTTCTTGTAGAGCAATGGCTTCCAAACAGTGACTCCCAGTAAGCAGTACATTTTATATCATGACCCAGTACATGCAGTTATGTATATATGTTATATATATGTGTGTTAAAGGGAAACAGAAATTTTATAAAACCATATTTACTTTGACTACGCATAATACATTCTATGTTCTTTTTTTCGTTAAAACATTACTGATTGCAACCCACTAAATTGATTTTATAGTTCAATTTTATAATTCAATAGCAATGGATTATGAGCCATATTTCCGTAGTTTGGAAAGCTCTGCTTTTCTTTTTTTTTTTTTATCCTCACCTGAGGACATTTTTTGCATTTATCTTCAGATAGAGAGGGAGGGAGAGAGGGAGGAAGAGAGAGAGAAACAGCGATGTGAGAGAAACATATCAACTGGTTGCCACCGACACGGCCCTGTTGGGGCCGGGGACAAACTGCAACCGAGGTACGTGCCCTTAGCGGGAACCGAACCCTGGACTCCCTGATCCGCGGGCAGACACTCTAACCGCTGAGCCAAACCGGCCAGGGCAGCCCTGCTTTTCTTCCCCTTCATGTTCATATACTATTGACAAGTCAGATGTAGTACACATAGCCACGCGGGTTATTAATCCAACATTTATTGAGTATATACTATGTGCCAGGCTCTATGCTATTCACTTGGAATAGAATTGGGGAACAAATATACTTCATCTTTTAAGAGCTGGAAAAGGAATCCTAGATGGTGAAGAACTGCTTTGGCAAATGAGGGGTGACTGGGACCCAATTCCTAGACAATTGGGATGAGCTGGCAAGGAGGCAGCAGTGCAAGTGGTAGGAGTCAGAGAAATTTAAACTAAACCACCTCCATTTTATGTGGGACATTTAGAGTATCTATGGAAGGGTGGATTGCTGGATTGATCTCTTAATTGCTGATACCTGGGTGGAATTTTTAGGAAAGTTGTATTCTCAGTTGGATTCCTTGGGAGGAAAGGATTTACTGGATAGTGTTGGAGAGAACCATGTGTAATACACATTTTCAACGAAAGCTCTATAGTCCTTGCTTCTTTTGGGTTGGGGGAAAAATCATTTGGATTTAAACTGCACCACACTTATTATCAACTTTGCCATTAAAAACTTAATTGTAATTGTTTTTTCTTTCCTTTACGCTGAGAAGTAAAACTACCTTAGGAAACACCCATGAAAATTCAGAAGAACTTGAAAGAGCCAGAGATATGAAGGAAAAAGAAGCTGCATTGTAAGTTACTACTCACCTCCAGCACAGGTGCGGTCTCCGTACTCTGTCCTCTGAGGGGCCACAGGCGCCAGCCTTACTATTTGGGGGTTTCACTTGGGATCTGGAGAAAGTGATGTGGGTTTGTCTTAAATGAAGAAGAAACTGTGCTTTTTTTTTTTTTTAATTTTTTTTTTCTTTATTGATTTTAAAGAGAGAGGGAGAGAGAGAAACATCGATGAGAGAGAACATTGATTGACCGCCTCCTGCATGCCCCCCACTGGGGATTGGGCCCACAACCTGGGCATGTGCCCTGACTGGGAATCAAACTGGCAAGCTCTTGTCTTGGTGCATGGGTTGATGCTCAACCACTGAGCCACACCGGCCGGGCAGAAACTGTTAATACATCCTTCAATGATGCTATTTTCACACAGGGTACTCTTTCTAAAGTGGTAAGCTTTGCCGTGACCATCACTGTGATTGGTCAGCGGCTTTTGGAGCCAGGTGTATCTTAAATACCATTGCTGGCTCTGCCGCATATCATTGCCTCGGGCGACATACTGAAATTCCTCTTAGGCCTTAGGCTCTCCTTTTATGACCTGTGGATAACTATTTAGTGCATTCTGTAAATAAGTGTTTTGAGATTTCAGTGTGAAATATATCCATTGTACTCTCCTCTTTGTCCCCAACACACACATGGCAACTTACAAACAGCCCCTGCTCCCTGCAGCCTGCTGCTCCTGTCCTACCTCATCCCACCTCCTCTGGGTCCTGACAGAGACTCAGCGGCTCCTGTCATAGGGGCGGGGGGACTGCCATCACCCAGGGCTGTTGATACTCGGGAAGCCCCAGTGCTTCGTGCTGTGGGAGTCCTTCCTGCCTACAAGTCACAGTGACAAGCTTGTGCTGCCCAGTGCAGTGACCAGCACTTAGTTGGTGTTCAATAAGTATTTGCTGGATAAGGGAACAAACGAATGAATGGTGCCCACGTTTTGTGTCTTGGGCCCCAGAGTCTGCATACACACAGTCCTAGTTTATTCTCTTCTCTGGTTGTTAGAGGAGCCAGTTTCTCTGTGACCTGAATGCTTGTGTCCACTCTAGGGTCTTCCTGCCACCCACTGGGTTCTTCTCCAGTGTCCAAACCATGGTATACAGGTACAAGTTAGAAGTTGTCTGTAGAAAGTAGAAGGATATAGTTAGAGAGTGTGGTTCAGACCCTGGCCCGTTTGATTTAGCGGTAGAGCGTCAGCCCGCGGACCAATGAGTCGTGGGTTCAATTCCAGCCAAGGGTACGTACCTTGGTTGCTCCCTGGCCCTGGTCAGGGTTGTGCGGGAGGCAAGGAGTCGATGTGTCCTTCTCACATCAATGTTTTTCTCTCTCTCCCTCCCACTCTATCTGAAGATAAACAGAAAAATATCTTCGGGTGAAGATTAAAAAAAAAAGAGAGTGTGGCTTGGGTGCAGGTTATAGGACATAACTTTGTTACAGGGGTGGTGACAGGACACACAGCTGTGAGTAAAGCACAATAGCCAAGGTTTTACTCTAATACTCCAAGATTAGAATAATCATATTAAAGACTGTGGAATTTTAAGCCGCCTCAGCAAATGCTCCCTTCTCCAGTGAAATGCAAGCTTGCCCTGGGCCAGAGCAGAGCTATTGCAGCTGCTGGAGAGGCAGGGGCCGGAGAGGCAGGGGGAGGCGGGACCGGCCTGCCGGAGAGCTCTTTTGTGCAAAGAGAGGCTACCCCCCTTGTCCGAATACACCCCTGACCTAGTGTGCACCTCGGGATGTTGCAGCGTAGGTGCCAAAATTGCTAGTCAGGGCCCTGGGAGAAGAAAGGATAAGCATTTCCAGTTAAAACTTGTTATTCACTGTCCCTTCAAAAACAGTGTGGAGAATATTCAAATTCTATACTGCTGGCGTTATTTCTATTAGCACTGTTGGTGATATAATAGGTTGGGTCTATTCCGGATTAAAGAACTCTTTGGGAGCAATTCCAAGTGTTTTCCAAATTTCACACTAAATTTATCAACAGATTTTTAGAATGTAGTCCTTTCAGAAGCTGGGGATTGTGTGTCCACTAGAATGCTATTTCTGTTGAATAACTTTATTTAAAGAGCCACATTCTGTTTAAAATGAGTCACACCTGGAATCCTGCCTGTGGGCATGTCATTACCAGAATAAGAAAGGACTTTCTCACAAGGCACACAGCTCCAAAGACAGTCTGATATCAGGGCTCCAATGATAATTTGTTTTATTATGGTGTATTTTATGAATAAATCATGTGACATGGAGGTATTTGGTTTTAAAAATTTATGTCTTTCATCAGTTTTTCTAGAAATTAATATATCATTTTAAACTGTCCATGTGATTTATTTTCTCTTTTTGTTCTTTGGCAGAAGATAGGTCAATGTCATTTTATTTATTTTTTATGTTTTTTATTTTTATCCTCACCCAAGGACATTTTTGCATTTATCTTCAGATAGAGTAGGAGGGAGGGAGGGAGAGAGAGAGAGGAGAGAAACATTGATGTGAAAGAGATACATCAACTGGTTGCCACCCACATGACCCCAACTGGGGGGGAGACAAACTGCACCCGAGGTACATGCCCCTAGCAGGAACTGAACCCGGGACTCTGGTCCGTGGACTGACACTCTAACCGCTGAGCCAAACCAGTCAGGGCAGTCAATGTCATTTTAAAGTTTTTGTGTAAATTATAGGAATTTTCCATTGGAAGTTCTATTTAAAGTATAGGCTTTATTTTATAGTTTTGATTTGCTATGAAATCGAATCAGCTTGGTTCTGTGAAGGAATTGTTTGCCTCCTGCCACACTAATAAATAAAGTGGAAGTCACAGAGTGGGTGGCTACTCCCTCTTTCCCAGAGAAATTGGACCATTTGCAGTAGACCCTGAATAGAGCTCATTAATCCTGGGGTACTTGTGTACTGGAGTTTGGGGTTCTTTAGGCTCTAACCCATTCCAGAGATTGCAGCTTTTTCAGAAAAATAACAACTCTGTCTTAAAAGGCTTTTAAATGTATTAGTTATTATTTGTTTTAGTTTATATTCCTAATGGTGCAATTTGAACCTTTTTCTTCATATATGGTTACTGAATTGTGTTTTTTACATGTGTACCCATTCCTTTAATCCTTTCATTGTTTAGGCTCTTCTTGGACTCTGTTTGTTGTTGTTTTCTTATGCTTTTTAACTTTCATTTTTCAGCCTTTTGATCATAGGCTCTCCAATAGCAAGTTTAGCAGTAAACCTCTCTCAGAAGTTTACCCTGTTGCAATGGCCTGGCCACTTCATCACAGTTGAGACTTCATCTTTTGAACACGGATCTCTAACACTTATCAGTCAATGATCTTGAGGACAGAGAGGTTCTCGACCTTAGGATGAGAGGGGAAAAGAGCTTAATTACTGTCTTGTTGCTAAAGGCTTTCCTGAATTCTAGAATGGCAGTTTTTAGCTGATATAAAGGAAGCTACAGAAAACACACACACACACACACACACACCTCGTTCCAGAACATACAGATTAGGATTTCTAAAGAAATACTTAAACTCACAAAGTGCTCTGTAGAGCATTCATAATTGGAGGAAATTTACATGTGTTATCTCTTTTGGTCCAGAGATGTTTCTAAAATAACCTCATCTTTATACTTACAGATGTCTAGAGTTTCTACTTCAAAATGATGCAAATCCATCTATCCGGGACAAGGAAGGTTACAATAGCATCCATTATGCTGCTGCCTATGGCCACAGACAGTGTCTGGAATTGGTGAGTTGTTTTGTCTTGACTTGTTTTCTCTTAACGCGCACACACATAAACACACACCCCCAAATCTGAAAATGCTGGTCTTCATGTCTCAGTAAATGACCTTACTGCCTAGTTAAGTCCCCACTAGAAATCACCTTGAAGATATTCTATGGTAAGTGATTAAATTGTTTAACTTTATGATATGTAGATCTCATTGTTTCTTTTCTGCCTATTCTAATCTTAGAACTGACTGACAGTCAACTCTTTTCTGCATTAATTTGGGCTGAGACCATAAGACCTGTGTACGGACAGTTTGTATGTTAAAGATCATTTGGATGTATCAAATACACTCAATTTATATTTCTGGAGGCGCACTTAGCACCCCAGTATTCAGTAACAGTGCTGTAAAATGACTTACAGAATCATGAGGCATATGGGTTTGTTACGGTCCCACATTTGTAGTTTAGGGAAAGAAATTGGCAAGGGCCAAAAATCAGAATTTACTGAAATTTCCAAACCACCAAAAATCTCAAACCTATAGTGATCAAGGAATACCTTGGGGTTTGGAGTCTGAGACGCCTCTGCTGCTTAGGTCAAGAGACACAGACTCAAATGCCCACAGGGACCAGAAGTGTCAAGAAGAGAAGTGACTAGGCCCAGGCAGAGAGCAGGGAGCGCTGGGGGTCGTGGCAAACAGAGCGCAGTGTTCTGTCTGGAGGGAGAAACAGCTGCTGAGCTCCAGCCAATGGAGAGCAGGTGGGAATGCACACCTGGGGTTACTAGCCTTCCAGGGTTTCAAGAGAAGGTAGAAATCTAGACTTTTTATGTGAAATTTTGCTGTTTTGAAACCCTGGGTGAACTAGGAAGAAAGCAAGGAGGATTGTGGCTGAATTCTCTCTGCGAGCCACCATTTACCATCTGCTGAGCATCGCTGTCGGTTCAGCTTCACCAGGATGCATGGGCTATCCTAGCCTCACTATGTCTGGTCCAATCCCAGGAGCCACCTTTGCTGCCTGGGCTCCAGTCTGTCCCTTATCCCTTTACAAGGGGAAGGCCTGTTTCTCAGGGTGATTTGGAGTGTGCTTGGGGAACCCCTGCACAACTGCACAGTCCGTTGAGAAAGGCACGAGGCAGAAAGCGAGCAACATGGTGTCCGTGCTTACGGAGACATGACCAAAGGATGCCCCGGCTCGATTCTTTACCTTTGGCTTTGCTGCTGATTTCAAATGGTTCCAATGAAGTTCCAATGAAGGTCATTCTTACTATATGTCTTTTAACTATGAATGTTCGTGAAGGTCACCCAGGTTGGAAATAAAAAAGTGATTATTTTAGTGGATTTTTCCATGGAATTTATCGGTGAATTGAACCTACCTTCATCATTCTTGAATACTTCTGATTCTTCTTTCCTGTGGTTCTTATGGATGCTAAAGATGTCCTTGATCAATCTTGGGGGTGGCATTTTTTCCCCTCTAGTTTTAATTTCATAAAAATTCTTCTTCCAGCCCATGCCAATTTGGCTCAGCGGTTAGAGTTACAGCCTGCGGTCCAGACAGACCCGGGTTCGGTTCCCGCTAAGGGCACGTACCTTGGTTGCAGTTTGTCCCTGGCCCTGGTTGGGTCGTGCAGGTGGCAGCCACTCGATGTGTTCCTTTCACATCGATGTTTCTCTCTCTCTCTCTCTCTCTTTTCTCTCTCTCCCTCCCACTCTATCTGAACAAAAAAATGGAAAAATGTCCTCAGGTGAGGATAAAAAAAAAAGTCTTCTTCCAGTTACAGTGGCCACATAGCAAATCACCCCAAAAGTTAGTGGCTTAAAAACATCAATCATTATTTATTAACTCTCACTGTTTCTGTCGATCAGGAATTCAGGAGTGGCTTACCTGAGTAGTCCCAGTTAAAGGTGTCCTATGATATTTTAGTCAGATAGTGGCTGGGGCTGGTATGATTTCAAAGGCTTTGCTATTCACATATCAATCACCTGGGTTGGAAGATTCAAACAGCTGACATTCCTTGGGCCTCTCTCTGTCTCTATGTGGTTTCTGTATTCGGTTTTCTGTAGCCTGGTGGTTTCAGAGTAGCTGGATATCTTACCTGGTGGCTCAGGGATCCAAAGGCATCTCTCCCAGGAGAGAGCAAAAGTGAGAGCAGGTGAGAGAAAGAGACCGTATCACTTTTAATGATCGATCTAGCCTGGACGTCCACACAGGGTCGCGTCTGCTGCATCCATCCATTGCAGCAGTCACAAAATCCAGACATATTTCAAAACCACCCAGTTTCATAGGAAGAGGTAGAAAGCCAGTGACTGCACAGCCTTCTATAAGATGGATTGTTATATAGAAGCCCAAGTGGCAATGGGACTTAGTCTTACAGATGGTGAACCCAAACCACAGGGGCGTGAACTGCTTTGTCCAAAGTCATAGCTCTGGGCAGTGGAAGAAGCAGGACCATGAATCAGGATTCCTGATTTAAAAGAAAACATATAAGCATTTGCCTCGTGAAAGAAAGAAAGAAAGAAAGAAAGAAAGAAAGAAAGAAAGAAAGAAAGAAAGAAAGAAAGAAAGAAAGAAAGAGAGAGAGAGAGAGAAGGAGGGAGAGAAGGAAGGGAGGGAGGGAGGGAGGGAGGGAAGGAAGGAAGGAAGGAAGGAAGGAAGGAAGGAAGGAAGGAAGGAAGGAAGGAAGGAAGGAAGGAAGGAAGGAAAGGAAAGGAAGAAGAAGGAAGGAAGAAAGAGAGAGAGGAGGAGAGAAGGAAGGGAGGGAGGGAGGGAGGGAGGGAAGGAAGGAAGGAAGGAAGGAAGGAAGGAAGGAAGGAAGGAAGGAAGGAAGGAAGGAAGGAAGGAAGGAAGGAAGGAAGGAAAGGAAGGAAGGAAGGAAGGAAGGAAGGAAGGAAGGAAGAAAAACATGTTTACCACACCTGCTGCCTTTTATTGCAGGTTAAAGCTCCACCACCTCTCAAGGCTTTTCAGTGTAGAGCAAAAGCTCGTAGAAACTGGTTGAGATGTGAGGCAATATCACTTCTGCCTTCTTCCACCAGCACTGCTGTGGTTGTTGATCTAGACCTACCAGCAAATAACACTTAGTGTTTAGATTTCACATAAGAAAGGCTCCTCACAAAGTGTGTGTGTGTGTGTGTGTGTGTGTGTGTGTGTGTGTGTGTGTGTGTAATCAGTGGCAGAGCTACTGTAACTACCCATTATGAGCCTGCATCCCAAAAAGTACTCAAAATACAGCTGCTTTTAATTGGTTTTCCCTATGAAACCCATATGTCATAACTGGACATAAGAACTTTTATTACAAAGTTTGTTATTGTAGTCTCAATAACTTGTGCCATTTTAAAGTACTTTGATAATTTATCTTCAATCCCATGGAGTATAGTAACTCTGAGAATGATTACCCTGTAACACCTTCTCTCTATGTAAATAATATATTGTGCATTATTTTTATTTTTTCAGGAAAGCCATTTCAGGGCCCTTACGTCTGTTAGCCAATGAAAAGGTTTTCTGTCCACAAGGTTTCATACATTCTGTTTGATAATGAAATTACTCATTTGATTATATCAACACTTACCTTGTGTGATTTATAAAGAGATGATTATCCTTGGCAATTACAAGACAGTCAAAAATCAGGTGTCACAGGGAGGGGATGGTGGTTATAGGTGCGATATTAATTGATTTTAATTTGCACTGTCAGCTGAAAAGGACCAGGTTATCGATACAAAGTGGCAGAAATGTCACCATGGTTTGCTTTCAGAAAATAACCTTAGTGGGTCATTTATAACACTGAGGAGGTAGAACTTCTCCTCTCATTTTCCTGAATTATTATAGTTATATAGAAATTTCTTCTTTTTTTTTTTAATCCTCACCCGAGGACATTTTTCCATTTTTTTGTTCAGGTAGAGTGGGAGGGAGAGAAAGGAACAGAGAGAGAGAAACATTGATGTGAAAGGGACACATCAGTGGCTGCCACCCACACAACCAACCAGGGCCGGAGACAAACTGCAACCAAGGTATGTGCCCTTAGCGGGAACCAAACCCGGGTCTTCTGGACCACAGGCCGACGCTCTAACCGCTGAGCCAAACCGGCCAGGGCAATATAGAAAATTCTTTATATTTCCATTTTGAAAATTCTTCTTGGGTATAGTTCAACTAAACAGAGATCCTGAGCGGGCTTTAAACATTCTTGTACCCTGCACCCTCCTATTCAAAACAGAACACAATCCTGGGCTCTCCTCGGGGGTGGAGCCAGACCATTGCAGGTATCTTATCCTCACTACTGCTCACCCAGCTATGAATGGATTTGGGAGAGGGTGGGACCACCACCAATGACATTTATTATGTATTCATCACATTCAAGGAATTTTGCATACCTTATACCATTTAATTATTTTTTATTTCAGTTTTATTGAGAAATACTTGACATATAGCACTGTACACATTTAAGGTATAGCATAATGACTTGGCTTATATATATTGTGAAATGATTACCACAGTAAGTTTAGTTAGCATTCATTATCGTATATCGATAAAAAAAGCAAAATAAATGTTTTCCTTATGAGAAGAATAAGGCCTGTTCTTGATACGAGAAGTAGGTTTTTTGAGGGGCACCTTTTCTAATTTTACTCTCTCCCTGTAGGACCATAATACCCTCATATTCCTTGAAACTCCCATTTCTTTGGGTCCTAGACATTAGGAAAGCAAACCAATTAACCAATATGCACTGGAAGGTACATTTTCGTTTTTTTTAATCCTCACCTGAGGATATTTTTCTGTTTATCTTCTAACAGAGTGGGAGTGAGGAAGAGAAAGAGAAACATAGATGTGAGAGAGACATATCAACTGGTTGCCTCCTGCACAACCCTGACCAGGGCCTGGATGAACCGCAACTGAGGTACATGCCCTTGACCAGAATTGAACCCATGACTCATTGGTTGGCCAGCCAACGCTCTAACTGCTGAGCCAGATCAGCCAGGGCTGGAAGGTACATTTCTAAGACTCCTCACTGCATGCCCATCTTCTTCCTCATCT